ATATAAAAATATATTAATCATATTTTTAATTTATATCCTAAAAGATACGGAATAAATAAATCTAAAAATTACAATGACGCCTGTTTATTCACAACCATTCATAAAAAGTCTCAGCATATTCCTAAGGTACGCCTGAAAGTGAGAAGTGCAACATAAAAAACGGAAACATATCACGAGGAAAGTGGGCCAGAGAGGACCCACACGTAAAAGGGAAGCACTACCTAACCCAATCTAAAGCAGAGATCGTGGCCTTTTACTGGGCTTTCGTTTAAGAACCTAAGACAAAGAGCATGTGGGCCCATACGTAAAGCCCCAATTATTTATTTTGAAAAGTGGGCCTACGCCAGACTTCAATCTCCCTGCATGTGGATGCCCGAGCTCATGCAGGATTTCTACGGTCCTTTGTCCCCCCGTTGTTTCGATTTTTCCTCAGTCTCATTTCTACAAATTTCAGGCCGGCAACGATAATAAATTTTATCGATGAATCTTAGTTTGAATAGAAAAAATTTGATTTTTTTGAAATAAAATTTTGAATTTAACTCTTATAAATAAAAAAAACAAGTATTGAAAAAATTTTCACTTTATTGAATCAAATGCGATTTAGTTTTAAATTAATTGAGATTAACGTATTTATCGAATATTAAGAAATTAATAGAAAAACAATAATAAATTTTTATTGAAAAAAATTAAAATAATTTTTATAATATTTTATTCAAATAATGTAATTTTAAAATTTTTTTAATTTTTTAAAAATTAATTTATATGCTTAAATTTGTAATTCAGTTGATAAAATATATGTTCTTGCATACGAGAAAGATGAGATCAAATCCAAGGTGCATTTAATTATAGGGACAGGGAAGAGTGTGGAGATCCGATTCAATGGTACCACATGTCGAATGTTTTTTCTTTCTTTTCTAATCATCAACACATGCACAGGGATAACAGAGCCGGCAAGACTAAGAAGGAAGAGTACACAGTCTACGTTTTCCAGCCAACATTTAATCGACACAACGTTGTGTCGACTCTCAAAGATAAGGCTGTTTTTGGGAAAAAGGCTAGCTGTTTGGTTGGCGAGAAAAAAGAGTAAATGGGGTTCCCCTTCCCCCAAAATATGCAGATTTCTGTCGATGGACATCACGTCAAACTATCTTAATTTCTCGTTTTTATTGTTTTTCCCATTATAACATATATATATCTCTACAGAATCAAAAACCAATAAGTATATTTTGGATTAAGCTACACTATTCTGTTTCAAATAAGAGTACATATTGAATTGGATCTTGTGGTTCAATGGTTAAATTTCAAACTTTAAGTGTTTGGGTGAGATATTGGTCGGAGTTTCGAACTTCACCAAAAAATGACCTGATAACCGCGTATTTCATTTGAGGGGATAGAATGTTCACCCAGTTTAAAGATTAGTTATTAATAATTAACTCACTAATTTACTAATCATTATCCTTATAAAAAAAAAAAAATACATACTTGACGGGAAACAGCAGATGATCAATGATGGCGAGGTGCTCTCATATATAGACTCAATGTATTATCACTCTCTTTCTCCAGCTCAAAATGGAAAGAAAAAAAAAAAAAGAGGAAACATTTACCTTAGGATATTTTGAAACAACATTAATTGAATTTGAGACAAAATTAATAAAAAAACAGTTTAATTTTGTGGGATTAAGTGTATGTAATTTGTATGTTATTCATGAGAAATGCAATCATTGATGGTGTTTGTGGACATCCTAACAACTCAAGTGGGCAGAACGCAACAGACACGAAGACGTACGGTTCTTTTTCACTTGTCTGTCCTCTCTCCATGCATTAAAGAATGTGCATTATGGGTTCACATGCAAATGTTTAGAGATGTATCCTTTTATCGATTTAAATGAAAAGGCTCAGTTTTTTTTTTTAAATAAATCTTAAATTTAACTTTTATGTGTGGGGTAGTAGCCGTTAAGAAAATTTCTCTTCTCATATGTTCTGAAAAAACTTAACTTGAGATTAGTTAGATT